AACTTACAGTGTAGTCTGGTATTCTTATAAAACTTGTTTTCGTTACAAGATATCCACCTGAATAGATTGAAATCCATGGATTCGGTGGTGCGTAAGTAGGTAAGACAAGTGAATCGAACGTTAATGTTTCTAAATGTGATTCCTTGTATAACTTTGAAACAAAAGGATGAGGTTTAATCTGTAACAGAAAAATATTATCAAACTCAACGTCTCTCGACATGTAGAAAATAAATATTTGTTAAATCTATAGACCTGTTCTGACAAATACGTTCCCTTATTCCTAAACAGCGTATAGAATGCAGGGATAGAATGTTTTAAATCTTGTCCCTTTAAGATGTCTGGCGGAAGTATTATATCATTCAAGATAATGTTATATAAAAACTTCCCAACATTTATAATCACATCTATAGGCCAGTTTAAACACATGATATTCAGAGATGTGCCATTTTTTATTTCTTCGCGTTCAAAATATTGCCATACGGTACGATTATTCATGTTACTTAAATGTGGCATACTCTCAGGTTGCAAGTACCATTCGAGATATTTTGAATAAACATTAATCATTTCATCTAAGACTCCAGTCCGTTTCTTCATTTCCATCTAGAAATTATAAAAGTTATGTATTTAACAAATTTGTTACTTTAATATAAAAAAGGAATCAATGTGTTATTAAGCAATATCATACCTCGTACGTCTTATAGATGTATTTTCCCAAGCCAATGTGTAAGAATTTGAGAGACGTACTGTAAGTTTCTGATCCACCAGCCAACTGTTTGATTTCTCGTAACATAGCGTTCACATAATGCTCCTTAGCTAAAACTTCGAAGAATGGATAGAGTACCATTAAATTATTATGAGACTGCAATTCCTTCTGCTTTAAACATTTCACATTTCTGTCAAAAGCTGTTGTTGCTGCCTTCTTCCAGCAGTCTTCTACTTCCATAATTTTTTCATTCTAGATGAAAATACTCATTATTTCTAGTTCTCGATGCTCATTATTGTGTAGATAGATAATAAATATACAGTATAAAATAATATTTTACCATTGCAGATGTTTTTGCATCATTGTTTTCTGAATCGTTGCAAATACTAGGTATCTTTACTTCAATCATACATTCACTTTGAAACTGAATTTTTGATAGGTCTCGCAATTCTTCGATGGTCAATAATTCTTTTGCTGGACTCTCATAATTACTCTTTATCGGAGCCTGCCTTAGAATTTTACACATGTACTTTGTACTTAACTCCGGATACGATGGCTTGAAGTTGGGTTGTAACATACTGATCGTTTTTAAAACATTTTCTTGCTGCTCAATTTTGAAAAACGATTTAATAATGATATCGTTAAAAGATATGTTGTAATTGTTCATTTCATCCTTCAACTTGTTTAACAACTCTGCAATTCATCAAATTAAAAATATACTTTTTATCTTACATTATACTTAGAAAGTATATGTAATTACCAAGTTGATTGTTGCCTAATTTCTCCCTTCCGAAAGCGTCAAAAATATATGCATAAGTTTGTGGTGTGGGTTTCAAGGAATCTTTTTTTATTAAATCATATAACTCTAAAACCTTTGTCGTTTTTCTTTTACTGGCATAAGCTTCCAGAAGCACGTTGTAAAGTTCAATAACTTGGTTGCAGGATTTCAAATTATTCTGAGCATGCTTTCTATATTTCATTAAGGTATTGTTAGCTCTGTTCATCAAACCACAACTCAAGTAAATTTGCATGTGCACTAATAAACTTTCAACGTAATTCTGCATATTATATTTATTTTTAGTTTTATAAAAATCTGATGACTTGTCCCTAAAAATGATTATTGAATTGATGTTTAGCACCGTATTTCGTTACACCATACACCGTCGTCATCACAGTTTGCTTGATAACTTTTCTCTTCACGAATCCCTCTAACACTTGCGCGAGTTTGTGATCATTGCTCGAATCGATTTTTCGTTGATTTTCTACCTGTAATTGAATATTCTTTTTTTTTCATTTGCTCATTTTAGGACTCGGATGTTCCTAAATATAAAATATAATACTTACGACAGACGCAACCGCAGTATACACATCTCTTGGTGTATCAAAAGGATAGAGATTCACGCTTTCCGCACCGATCTGATCTCTACCGAGCGCCGCGTAATGCTGAAGTCCGTTGCAACTTCCGTCCTGATGTATTGGGAACGTGCCTACGTATTCTTCCACGTTTGGTGCTTTCAACGCGTTCGCTATTTCCATACATCCAGCCAAAGTTTGCCAAGGTTCTTCCGATCGTGCCCACCACATTTTACCCTTCGCAGTACAAATATCCATACTATTTAAAGTTATTGTATATTCTAGTCGTACAAATTTTACACTCATCTTTGCAATTAGGTTTCGCTTCTAATGGTTGTACAAACTTACCGTTAAAGGTTGGTTGGCACTGTCTAATATATTGTCTAGATTCTCATTTGCAAATTCGATGCGTTCTTGGACGGAAGTTCCTTTCTTAAAATTCGTTAAATTTACAACATGCAACTTTAACCAGTCCAAACCATTCGGGCCCAAACGTTTCCCTTTTGCGAACAGAAGTAAGGAACGGCCCAAGTCCGACGATAGATGATTTAAATGCGGAGGAACTGGATAAACCCTTCCCCTGAAGTCCAGATTATGAGGCAACCAAAATATCTTATTCCTAAACTTTAAAAAGTATACAAGAAATTAACATCCAACGTTATAACAAAATATTTGCTACAGAGATCATAACATACATGATTAGCGATAGATAGTTTATAAAGGGCGTCACACCATAACGCGAACATCTCATATTTCTTTTGCTTGTATCGAGCTGTCGCTATCGCTGCTTTCTGTTTCTCTTCGACAGTAGCAGTTTTACTTATAGCAGGCGGCGGTGACAATACGGCAATTGATTGAGGAACGTTCAGTTCTACAGATCCACCTTTTTGGAAGATCTAAATACAAAAAAATGCTGTACAGTAAGTTTTTAGTAATTCATCAGTTTTAGTTTAATATCACAGGTACCTTAGTTATGATGTCTAGTATAGCGGTGTTTATCTTCCACGGAATAGAACTAAGCTGGTTCAATGAATCCAATATAGGAAACAATTGTTCCGATGGAGTATTTTGAAGTAGACGCCATGGTCGGTCCTAAATGCAAACAGTATTTCATTGATCAAAATATATTACATCTATATGTATATAAATTCTCACACAAAGTAGAAGAGATAATTTCTAAAATATAATTTCTAAAATCCAACTTACAGTGTAGTCTGGTATTCTTATAAAACTTGTTTTCGTTACAAGATATCCACCTGAATAGATTGAAATCCATGGATTCGGTGGTGCGTAAGTAGGTAAGACAAGTGAATCGAACGTTAATGTTTCTAAATGTGATTCCTTGTATAACTTTGAAACAAAAGGATGAGGTTTAATCTGTAACAGAAAAATATTATCAAACTCAACGTCTCTCGACATGTAGAAAATAAATATTTGTTAAATCTATAGACCTGTTCTGACAAATACGTTCCCTTATTCCTAAACAGCGTATAGAATGCAGGGATAGAATGTTTTAAATCTTGTCCCTTTAAGATGTCTGGCGGAAGTATTATATCATTCAAGATAATGTTATATAAAAACTTCCCAACATTTATAATCACATCTATAGGCCAGTTTAAACACATGATATTCAGAGATGTGCCATTTTTTATTTCTTCGCGTTCAAAATATTGCCATACGGTACGATTATTCATGTTACTTAAATGTGGCATACTCTCAGGTTGCAAGTACCATTCGAGATATTTTGAATAAACATTAATCATTTCATCTAAGACTCCAGTCCGTTTCTTCATTTCCATCTAGAAATTATAAAAGTTATGTATTTAACAAATTTGTTACTTTAATATAAAAAAGGAATCAATGTGTTATTAAGCAATATCATACCTCGTACGTCTTATAGATGTATTTTCCCAAGCCAATGTGTAAGAATTTGAGAGACGTACTGTAAGTTTCTGATCCACCAGCCAACTGTTTGATTTCTCGTAACATAGCGTTCACATAATGCTCCTTAGCTAAAACTTCGAAGAATGGATAGAGTACCATTAAATTATTATGAGACTGCAATTCCTTCTGCTTTAAACATTTCACATTTCTGTCAAAAGCTGTTGTTGCTGCCTTCTTCCAGCAGTCTTCTACTTCCATAATTTTTTCATTCTAGATGAAAATACTCATTATTTCTAGTTCTCGATGCTCATTATTGTGTAGATAGATAATAAATATACAGTATAAAATAATATTTTACCATTGCAGATGTTTTTGCATCATTGTTTTCTGAATCGTTGCAAATACTAGGTATCTTTACTTCAATCATACATTCACTTTGAAACTGAATTTTTGATAGGTCTCGCAATTCTTCGATGGTCAATAATTCTTTTGCTGGACTCTCATAATTACTCTTTATCGGAGCCTGCCTTAGAATTTTACACATGTACTTTGTACTTAACTCCGGATACGATGGCTTGAAGTTGGGTTGTAACATACTGATCGTTTTTAAAACATTTTCTTGCTGCTCAATTTTGAAAAACGATTTAATAATGATATCGTTAAAAGATATGTTGTAATTGTTCATTTCATCCTTCAACTTGTTTAACAACTCTGCAATTCATCAAATTAAAAATATACTTTTTATCTTACATTATACTTAGAAAGTATATGTAATTACCAAGTTGATTGTTGCCTAATTTCTCCCTTCCGAAAGCGTCAAAAATATATGCATAAGTTTGTGGTGTGGGTTTCAAGGAATCTTTTTTTATTAAATCATATAACTCTAAAACCTTTGTCGTTTTTCTTTTACTGGCATAAGCTTCCAGAAGCACGTTGTAAAGTTCAATAACTTGGTTGCAGGATTTCAAATTATTCTGAGCATGCTTTCTATATTTCATTAAGGTATTGTTAGCTCTGTTCATCAAACCACAACTCAAGTAAATTTGCATGTGCACTAATAAACTTTCAACGTAATTCTGCATATTATATTTATTTTTAGTTTTATAAAAATCTGATGACTTGTCCCTAAAAATGATTATTGAAAATTCAATAGATGCTAAAAGATATTTAATAAATAATTCTATTATACTTACATACTTGACTCCGGTTTTTTATTCTTTTTTGTTTTCTTTGTATCAAAGAGGGAATTAGAAGTTTCTTGAATAATAGCATCATTGGATTTTTTAACTTTATTTGGATTAACAAACTCATTTTCGTGTTCACGCAATTTGTCACATTTAATTTCATCATCAGCTAACACATTTGGATAATTTCTCTATTGTAGGAAAAATGTGTAAACAAACAATTTCTTCATAAACTATCTTTTAATGAGAATATAAAAATAACTTACAATATTTGAATGAATTTCATTATCGTAGAGATAATTATGATAATCATCTTCCATATATTTTGAATCAGAAGTCTGATGAACTACAGGACTTTTTGTATCGTATAAACTATCTGTAGTAATATTAGAATGATCCACAAGAATGGATAAGTCTGTTAATTTCTTTACTTCAGTTCTTTTATTACTTGCTGTTTCATTAGTAACTGTAATAAAACAAGATGTTGTTCAATTATGATTTCAAATGCAATTATCCAAAACTTTTAATATCAAATTTTACCTGCTAACAATTCTGTATACTTCTTTGTTCTCTGTTTACCTTTTTTCTTTATTGGTGAGTGACCTAAAACATTCCATATTGTAGTTCATTGGATAGTACAAATTCTTCCTCAAATAAAAATTGAAGAAAACAGATATTTTCATGAATTATATACATTCAATTCTATAAGTGCTTAGAGAATGAAATTGTGTTATGAATTTGGACACTATACAATTGATATAATAAATTTTATATGTGTAATACAAAATTGACATAAATATTTTAGATATACATGACATACAAAGTATATAATTTTGTCTATAAGTATAAGTTTAGTATAAACATACATTTTGATATCTTTCCATGGTAGAAGTTACAATAAGAGCACAACCGCATTGAACGTTGTACGATTACTTGCTTCGGTATGAAAGATACACCATGTGGAGATATTTGTTTTGTAACTCGTGTTACAAAAAGTTTGTACATCTTCATGCGATTACATAAAATAAATCGCTACGTTATCTAGTATCAATCAATCACCTTACACGTAATAATAACTTTATATATGCAACTGTATTATACATTATGCACAAGATAACCTATCCGGCGAAGCAGGCGAGACACTAACACATTGCCATTGAGTTCTAAATAAAAAATGTACCACACAATCTTTTATAGACAACGGCAGAACGAACGCAGAACTAGAGTCTAGTCTACTCCAGCGGTGCCATAACTTTTCCCTCGGCCGGAAAGTGGGGACGACGCAAACATGGTGGGGACCATAGCGCTGCGGAGAGCTTCGCGAACGCGCATGAGCACGCATGAGGGGAATAGTAGTGGGGATCGAAATACGGGCGAAAAACAGGGGAAGCGAGCCTCGAGGGAAAAGTTATGGCACCGCTGGTCTACTCATGGATATAGGAATATAGGAATACAGGTTCCTTTAATAGGATTATAAATGACATAAAATAAAATTATCGCGTAGAAACTCATGGCGAAGTTATGAAATAAATATCTTAATTATTTCATTATTTTTTGGATCGCTGATCACGAATTTGAAGTCAGATTTGACCAGTCGCCGATCAGAAAACATTTACTTTAGGCTCGCATAATAGGTACGAAAAGTAGCG